CTCAAAAAACGCATGACTGCGCCAGACTGTTTCGTGTAACTTTCACCGACTCATCTGTGTGTGTGTGTGGGTGTGCGTGTTGAGCCCAGTCGTCGACCGTCGACGTACCAGCTCATGTGACCAATGCTGTACAATGCCCAGTCATCAACAAAAAAAAATAAATAAAGGATGCCCAGTGATCATTGCTGTCTCCACACGGAAAGTCTACTGGCCAGCCACCAGGCTGACCTTGTGATCTATGGCGATAGTTGGCCGGCGTCGTGTCGTCTTTTTTTTTTTTTTTTTTTTTTTCGAAAGGGCGACGGCCTTGAGATATTAGACCGGCCCCAAGCAATTCATTAGTATTTGGTTTTACTCGTCACGTTTCATCATCTGGATTCGAACACAGCACCTGGTCTGTATTTCAACAGTTCATGGATGTACCCACTGAGCTATGCTCTTGGGTGTGTCGTCTTTTTTTTCCTGTTTGCGGGACGGTAGATATATATAAAAAAAAAAAAAAAGGAAAAGAGAAAAAACAAAAAACAACATTCCTTGTTTTATTTTGGAATTTTCAATCAGGACGACCTTATTTAGGGCATCGCCTCACGTAATGTGAAAAAGACAGAACCTATGGCGGCCGGATCTTCCAGTGGTTTTCCGGAAGATGAATGCTCCATTTTGCACATTCCGACGAGGCCCTTACACAGCGTTTTTTTTTTCTTTTTTTCTTTCTCTCTTCGCGTGTCCAGGACCATAGAAATGAAAAATGGAGTCGTTGGAGGCCTGAGCACGGATGTGCTGCTACGGGGTTCCCCGTAATACTATAATGACAATAAAAAAAGGCCTGAAAGGCCGTCCTGTCCAGATTTGACAGGTAACTGAATTGGTTGGGCTTAAAGAAAAAACAAAAAAAAAATGGAGTCGTGTGTAGAAAATACAAATAGAAATGAAAAATGAAGTAGTGCTCAATGATGATGTAGAGGCTCGCAACAGCTGTCAGAACAAATTCGAAAGTCCGCGGTGGACAGGTTACCCCCCTTTGCCACAAAAGCTGTCGAGGGGCAAGGTTTTTGGTCATGGCCAAATGGACGGATAGATTTATAGTGCTTAGAAGGCTTCTATACAAACACCGCCCCTCAGGGCATACTCACATGAGGACCAAAAGACCCAAAATCCCAAAATTTGAGTCATTTTTCGGGTCACACTGGAGAGGCTCGCTACCGAAATGCCTCAAACCGTGACCCTTCTGTCAGCGGCCTGTGGGGCCGCGGGCGTACCCTTTCTGAGACCACCTCCGGAGGTGGTCTCAGGGCATACTCACACGAGCTGATAGAATCCCTCGTGGACCCCTGATCGTCGTCCTGTCCATCCCCGCCCCCCTCACTACCGCCGGATTCATTCCGACCTCCGCGTGGGCCGGGCATTTGAACACCTCCAGTCGCACCAGTGTCGGCAAGATTGGTGGGGTGTATGGTGTGATCGCTCCTAGTCATCGCTGCCATCTCCGAATATACACGCTCATCCATCCAGAAATCGAACCCCCGCTCCTTCCTCTCGCCTGGCATTAGTGTGAAGAAATTTGGCTTCCCCGATTCTCCCATAAACTTGTGCACAATTTTGAATTGCTGGTACAGGTTGTCCCATTTCTTCCCACAATCGACGGCCTTTCTACTCGTGACCCCCATGTGCACCAGCCTCTTCTCCACGTCGTCCCACTTCCATGTCTTCGTCTTCATTCTTCCCGTGGTGTGTGCGAGGCCGGCAAGATGCGAATCCTGGTCTCTTTTTGCCCGGATAAGAGCAATCATGTGCTCCACGGTCAAAAAATCCTGGCTTTTTGATCCCTCGCCAGCCGACGCATCTTCCACACCGTTCTTCCCCTTCCGCCCCGTGCGCGTTTCCGACAACTTTTTTGCGGCCCTCGACCCTCCCCGCTTTCTCCCTACTGGATGAATCTCCATCTCCTCGTCGTCCTCCTCGTCGTCCTTACCGGCCCCGTCGTCCACCTCGCAATCCTCCGCAACTGCACCATCTTCATCGCCTAATATATCGTCCGCCCCCCCGGTAATATTCGCCACCCCTCTCATTATGCCGGTCGTGCTCGCTTAACGCGATTGTCGCCGATGATCATCCCCAAACTTTCGACCAGCGACCTCCGTTGCTGACCACTCTTCGTTTGGGCGTCGTCCGTCCACTGTGCCACCTGCCGTCGTCGTTCTACACGGAACTGATCCGCCAGTCCACGTTGTCACTGGAGCCGGTGTGTGGGTGGTGCCCGAAGCTGGGTGCACGATAACGGTGCGCGTCACCTCCTCGGCACTCCTGGACCTCAATCCGAAGCTGAAATCCACCAGTCCTGGGTCATAACCAGCCGGGGTACGCCCCTCCAGCAGATCAGTGTATGTCGACGTCGATGCCTACCTGTGCAGCTGGCTCCCCATCCAATCCTGAGTCGAACCGCTGCCCAGAGGAAGGGTAGAACATCGAGGGTCGTCGCCGTCATCGTCACTTGGAGGCAACGGTATCTCGTGGGACGGCAGGTGGTTGTACAGTGCGGGGTCGTACGGCCGCCTGACTACTTCTGCACTTCTGCAGCGCTGACGTGACGACCCCGCAGCCCCAACGGACAACGTGGTCCTCGTCTGTACCCTCTCCATTTTCCTGGCCATCTTCGACGTTCGCCGCGTCTGTTTCCTTCCTGGAACGCGCACGAGGCAGCAAATATGGAAGACGACAACGGCAAGCAGCAACACAACGGCGAGCAGCAGCAAAGGCCGCCTACGGTACTGGTCTGCCATGAACGACAGGGCAGCAGAAACAAAAGACGTACTCACGCTATGGCAAGCGCGGCGAACGGAGACAAACGGTGCGAGAGGGAAGAAGCCAACGAATGAAATTGATGCAATCTCGCAGCTGGCTGCAGGAGGGCGCTTACAAAATACGTATTTTTCGACCGTTGTGAAGCACGTCGGAACAGCACGACCACGGCAGGAGCAGGCCAACGACGTCCGATGCTCGCCACTGCACCTCCCTCGGGACACCCGACGAACCAACAGGGCCGTCCAGCGACGATTACCGCCAACGGTAAAACGACGAGGCCGTGACTCGACGTTTTGGACGCCCATGCCTCGGGATGTCCGTCTTTCGCCTTTCGGACCACCTCTGGACCACTTTCGACCTCCGTTGCCCCTTCGTGACGCGCCGCCGACACCCCGATAATCGCGGATCCTCGGGCTCCAAAGGACCTCGCGAGGTCCTTTGAACCCGAGGACGATTTGGCTGGGAAATCCTCGGAGCCCGAGGATTTGTCCTCGTAGTGTTTTCACATTTCAGTTCCGAAAATCGGCTCCGAGGACAGGTGGAACGATGACGAAATCCTCGAAATCGTGTCCCCGAGGAGTGTCGAACGACGCCCTAAGACTAATTCAAGACAGAGGAAGCAGAAAGGAAGAGAAGAAAAGAAGGGAAAGGAAGTTGGGAAGAAAGGAGGAAGAGGAGGGGATGGCGGGACGGGAAATTCTTCCCCCCCACCCCCCCCTCTCCCCTCTCCCCTCTCCCCTCTCCCCTCCTCTGAAGGAAGCCCGCCGGGCTTGAATGAAAAAGGTAGGGAGAGTCGGGACCCAACACCTACCAACAAAAAATTTTCCACGAGAAATGAAAGTTAAAAAAACATTCCATTAAAAAAAAATCCCTCATATTTATAAATTATCATTCCCATATTTGTCCAATTCTAAAATTTCCAATTTAATTTGATAAGTTCCCGTCTAAATATGAGGTTTCCCTTCCAACTACATCTATTTGTTCAAGATGGAATAAAAGTCTGGACGAGTTTATGAAATGTTTTAATTGCACTTTCATTCTGCTACAACAAATATCTTCTTATTTAGATTGGATTAACTTATTTATGACTGAAAATCCTTACTTAGAATGACAGTCTAATTTAAATTATTTTATGAACTTATCCATACTTTCATTCAAGTTCCATATCTAGCATGCAGTTCAAATAAGAAGGGATACCCCATTCTTGGAAGGAAAGAATGACATTTTTTCGTATGAAATAAAAATTTGAAATTTAGAATTTAATTTTACTTTAGAATGATTATTTCATTCTGGGAAATTTGTATGTTGACGGACAAGGGGAAAAATGACTTGGGAAAGCTCCCGTCAGACGAAGAGACGATGGATATGGAATCCCCCACAGATAAAGCAGGGAACAAGCAAGCACTAGAGAAAAATGTTGAATCAGAAAGTCCTTCCAAACACAAGGCTCCACCCCTCACGGAGACTGTGTCTGATCGACCACGGTCCCCGAAACAAGGGAAGAAGAAAAAGAAAGCTCCTAAGAAGAAACACTTAAGGAAGCACAGAAAACGAAAACAGGTTTGGAAGGAAAACAAGAAACAAGATTCTACGTCTATTCCCCCGTCCCCTGCTCCTATTGACCACAGTGTTAAAAAAGAACAGGGAATGGTAGAGGAAGTACATCCCAAAAGTGATACGAGGACGGAGAGGGAGAAGGGTAAGGAGGACAAGGCAGTGGAGGAAGAAGATCAACGTAACAAATTTGACGCCCAGTCCCCAGGCCTTATTCCTGACGAGGGTGAGGGGAACATTTTCCTTACCCCGAAAGCGAAAGGGGGAAGAAGCCTCATTCCAGGGGACACGAAGGCACTACACCGGGACAGTAAGAACCGAAAGAACAACAAGTACAAGGACGGCCCTATGGAGAACGTYTCCCCCCCCCCCCCCCCCCCCCTAAYCCGGATTCTGTATTACCGGGTAATTGTTCAGTATACCATAACAAATTCTTTGACTCAGATCCTACCTCGTCCGATAAAAGGAAAGATCAGAAAGGAGATGGGGTCAGACCAAGACAATTAAGCATTAAGAAAGATTTTCTCGAAAGTAAGGACTGGACCAATGATTCAGCCTCGTCAGAAGATGAAGAGGGGGATCCCCTGGAAAGGTGGCAGAGATCCTCAGAAATCTTCAGTCCATCGGAAGGGCTGGATGAATTCTCAGATCATGTGTAGGGTGATAATTTTTTTTATAGGGAAGAGAATGCAGAAGGTGCAGCAGAGTCTCTCCTTCCCCAGTTATTCGACACCCCCCCCCCCCCTCTCCACAAGAACATAAGAGGCAGGGACTTACAAGCCAGATCTCGTCAGTAAAATGCTAGAGGGTGGAGGGCCTAAAATTACAAGCAAGACAAGAAGATGAGGAAACCGTAGGGCTAGGAGAAAAGATTGTTAGGAGCTCTCCCCTCAAACGAGGCAGAACTTAGATGACTTAGACGACAAAACGCTCACTGGCATTGGTTGGACCCATGAGAACATTGAACAAAGTGGATAAAGTGAAAGCAAAGGGGCAGATAGTTGACTATCTGGTCCCCATCATTTGTTCTCATGACGGCCGCATTTCGAGGTTTCTTAACCTCATAGGAAGAGATGAGGGCTTGATTCTCCCGGTTCTCCTCAAAGGCACACCCTCGCAGGTTATGGTGTGCAATCTGGTTAAGATTCACGTGCTGCAGAACCGAGGGGAAGTGGCTTTGTTATCAGAGCCAAAAATGGCTCGACACCTCATCGACAGACCAAAAGGAGGAAAAATCCGAGTGTTTTTTGCATTTTTTGATTTATTGCACATTTCTGATTGCAAAAGCAAATGGGATGAATTAAACATCTATTGGGAAGAAGTGGTTCACCTGACGAACCCAAGGTCTGAGGTGATGAGTAGTATTCGGCTGCTAACTAATTTGTCTGCTAAGGTGGTGACAGAATGGCTAACCCACTCTGATAACAACACTACTATCACGAACCCGAGTTTTTATGACACCCTCCAAAGAAGGCGTATCGAAAAAACGAGGAACTTTGTGATAGGGGAGCATGCTACCGCCAGCCATCCCACTGCATTAGATGAAAACACAGTCGTCACCCGTATCCAAGACCCGGGCTGCTCCACTGCAAAAAATGGTCCTCCCCAGTAGGATCAGACTAGCAAGTTGGAACATTCGGGGATTAGGAGATCAGAATGACATATTTAAAAGGAGCAGGCTGTCGCGATAGATCCACTCCAAAAACATACATATGTTAGGGCTGCAGGAAACCAAAATTGGACACGAAAAGATGCAAGATATTCAAAACTGGTGGCAGGGCCCCCAGTTTTGGGCCCCTGCAGACGGTACAAGAGGAGGAGTGGCAGTTCTATTGGACAAAAATTTAGAGGTCGACGTGATCGACAGTTGCACTGACCCAGAAGGTCGCTGGGTTTGGGTCAAGTTAGCAGTTGAGGATGAAGACTGGGCAGTCATGTCGGTATATGCCCCAGTGAATTACGCGGAAATAATATTTTTTTTTGCAGACTTGCCCAAGTATCTATCTGACACAGAAAACCTTCTTATGTTGGGAGACTGGAATTGTGTTTTAAACCCAGAGTTGGATTCCCCCACCCCTACCCCGTTAAGAGCGGATGCAATACTCCTACAATCCTTGATGGAGGCCCAAGGCCTAGTGGATGTCTTTAGAACTATGAATCCGGACATAAACGGTTTCACTTGGCATGGCCCTAGGCCAGCCAGGAATACCACCCAGCCTAAAAGACGCTTGGACTCGGTTTTGGTAAGAGGGGCTCTGTGGGATCGAACAATAGGAACTGAGGTGAAATCCTCCTCGCTGTCTGACCACTACCCTGTGGTAATAGAGGTCGTATCGAAGGATGAAGTAATTAAACATTGCCCCCCATTTAGATTAAATGTCAACATATTAAAGGACCCAGGGATTCCATAATGGGTGAGGACTCAAATGCAGGACTGGAAAAAAACCAAAGATTTATTTCCTAATAAAGAGGTTTGGGTGGACGTGGGATAGACATACTCTGGGAAACAATGATAGAGTTTGCCAGAATGAAAGTTGTTTCCCGAAATTGGAAAGAAAAACAGCTAATCAGAATAATTGAAGAAGCAGATGCTCGCTCAGATTCGGACCCATTTCTATAATATTTTTGGTATAAAAGAAGGGCAACAGCCTTAGCTAATCTAAAAGAATTGGAAATACAAAAGCAAAAGGACTGGCAAGAATGGCTAAAAATTAAGGGTATAATTGGGCATGATAAAATGACCAAAGATACATTCAGGTCGTTCATCCTACGAAAAGCCAAACCGGTTATGAGGGAACTCATGCACCCCTTTGCAGTCCAAACCCCCATAGCAA